GACCATTATCGAATATTTACTTAATATAGGTTAAAGTGAGTGAGTGAGTATGGTTTTACGCCACTTTTAGCAATATTCCAGCAATATCACGGCGGGGGACACCAGCAATGGGCTACACACATTGTACCCATGTCGGAAATCGAACCCGTGTCTTCGGCGTAACGAGCGAACGCTTTAACCACTAGGCTACCCGACCGCCCCTAAATAATATAGGTTAAACATTGAGTATCGAGGACTGTTTGAAATGCAGTTCGACGATGCCAGAGAGAGTGTGTCTGTTTGCCACCTTTATATACGTTGTCTTGTACTTCCTTAATCGATGTTCATGGATACCAGCTCGCATGTGTACCCGTAGGGTGATAACCTCGGGCCCTTTGATGCGAAAAGAATGCTTACTTTACACCATTAAGCTGAGGTGCGTTACTTACCTGGAAGTGGTCAGCCCAAGGTAAATCAATCACGTATAATTCACAAATGGTATATATAAAGGACGGGGGAAACTGTTCCATCATCTCTTATCTTCACCTGCCGTTGAGACACAGATACGAGTAAAGACCAAACTGCAAGTACTAATTTAAATTTTGCTTGTGATATATATGTATACTTTTAATTTTTGATTCATCTGCTGCGCATCAGGCTGTTTTCAATCTTTATGTTGAGCCAATTCATAAAAGTCCGAATATGTAACATAAGACGTTCTTGTAAATTGAGAAATATATGAATGCGGGTGAAAGCAAAACTGATAACATAATTCACAATGAGTGGTGTGAACTGAATTTACCAGATGAGTAACGATAACATGCTATTTTACCTTTCTTGACAATAATTTTCCCGTTACTCAATAGATACTCAAAATGATGAAGATAGTCGCCGCTCTTGTTGCCTGCCTGGCTGTTACCGCCTTTGCCGAGCCTACCGGTCTGTATGGTGGAATTGGCGGGTTGAAAGGAGGACTGGGCGGAATTGGCTACGGAATGGGTGGATTGTACGGAGGCCTTGGAGGTCTTGGAGGCTATGGAGGTCTATACGGAGGCATGGGAGGTCTATACGGAGGCATGGGAGGTATATACGGAGGCATGGGAGGTCTATACGGAGGCAAATACGGATACGGCATGGGAGGTCTGTACGGAGGACTCGGGGGCTATGGTGGTCTCTACGGAATGGGAGGATACGGAATTGGATTGGGAAAAGGTATTTCACAAAATATGATATCATTTGTTTATCGTATCCGTAAATATACCTCCAGTCTCGTTTGCAAAATTGCATAATTTACCTATGTGGTATTACTATTTTCAGCGACAAAGCTGATGACATTTACAAAACATCTTTAAAACTATTCTCTGCTTTCTCTAATATTTGGTATAGTTTATCATGCAGCTAGTTTCAAGACTTCGTTGTGACTTATCCATACATCCCAACTTTATTCTACTATTTTTTTGTTTCAGGTATCGGCTATTATTGAGTTATTATCACCTGCAGTGTGATGCTGGCTATTTATGTATTTTCTCAAACCAATGGAATTGGTTCAATAAAATCTTGTCATATTTATTTACGCCTTGAAATTTGTTTGAAAATCTTAATCTGAATTGAATGTTCACAATGGAAGAGTGATCTATGTTTCTCTATATTGTAAACTCTGGACATAGTACGTGTTGTCGACCAATATCCAAGCACACTTCAATGATATTGCGTTTTACTGCTAGCTAAGATATCAACTACTGAAATGTGCTATTAAGTTCCTGAGGAAACCGGACATGATGATAAGAGGAGGGATTTTATGCTTGATATATCTCCCACCAAATGTCACTTACCCGAGTTCATGTTTCACGGGAATGTATCATTTGGGCTGCCAGGAAAGGGTTTGATGGCCATTTGAAGTACCATAATATCTGGAATTGGCTGTCTGTATTTCAATTTGCATTTTAAAAACATGCAGCGAAACAAATAAGCAGGCGTGTCAATTTTTGTCAAAGCAGTCATTGACGGTATCAAGGGGTAGACAGTGTGCACTGTATTGAAATGCAAATGTGTGCGCTGTCCTTGAAAATGAGCGAAAGTTGTATTCAGAATACAATCTACATGTTGTTATGGCGCTTTGTATAAATAATATCTGAGCTGCTGCAATAAAACAAACCCGAAAGCCATAGTGATGTAGAGCATCAAAACAAATGTTGCAAGATTCTTACTGCTTTGGTTAGAAGGGAATGCATACAGTTGGAATTTCCATGACAATAACATATCTTTACAGTTTATCAATTACACAAACAAAACGATTGAATTCAAAAGTATCTATTAAATACGCTTGTCCGGGTATAGCTTATCAAACTACGAATTATTTGTAATTTCCATCAAACATGTACTTCTTGATTTGATGATGCAATTTAACATTTTGCATACTGCTTATGTAATTAATAGGAGAAGTATCTATATAGATATTTAGTTGTGTGTTTACTAACCACCTTCCCTGTAGGCGCTATTTGTAAAATACATATTGATTAAATCAGAGCGCGAATTTGAAGATTCCGAACTGGATTGGTAGGATTGAAGATTACAATGAACAAACAAATAGCTAATATATCCCTTTTGTTTGATTACAAAGCAGAAGTGACAATCATTTATCAATACAAAGGAGATTGCATTTGGTAACTGTAGAGAGTGAAATTCAGCGGAATAAATGGTCCAACTTTAAAGCGTGTCATAAGTCTTTATAACAACAACCAGACTGTAAAAACAAGTCGTTTGATCATGTCTATCTTTGAAAACACCTTTGTGTTATACTTTAAGAGCATTTTCTTCTGAAAACACACGTCTTTACTTTTAGATGTACGGTTTTTCTGGGCAACCCTTATATAGTTACACATTGTCAAACTGATTTGCGCGTGTTTTATTCTTGGTAAGAGTTTTGGTCTAAACACGACTTAAAAGAACACAATCATCACTATCACTACTGCTTCATCATGTCAAGGGCATACGTAAAGGGTAGAGACGATTTATATACTTTCTTCTAATGTTTACGACCTAAGACTCAGCCGAAGATTAAAACACGTTAACGTGAGTTATTTGCAACAGTGATTAAGTATATATGCAAAAGTATGAATGGCTGAGACATTGTCAAAAGACAACATTCTCCCAATTTGGCACACGATGGAACGGACGGAGGAGCTCATGAAACATCCAACAAATATGAACTATTCACTAACACCTGGTGACATCACTGATATTCAGTATACATTTTAGCACAATCTTGCCTTTTACACCCAATGAAATCTGTTTCAACAGATAATCGAGCCTGAATATTCTCTGTCGTTGACGATTTATGTAGCTAAAGGGTCATCATTGAATGATTATTATATCAATATTCAGGCGTTATCTATAAAAGTTGAGATATCAAATTTAGTGATGCTCGTATAATCACAAATTCCTTGATAATGAAGTGTACAATTATCAAGATGATATGTTGAAGATAAGAGAGTTCTCTCAAGAAACGCAGTTGCAAATAAACGCCACAAAACCCTTTTCAGAATCATTCGAAAGCTCTGCTCGAAGCAGAGGCCATTGTACGATTCCGACTATAATGATCACAAGCATGTGCGTATGAATGACTATCAGATAGTGGATTCCGGGGTAGAATATATAGGTCTTCAGCAACCCATGCTTGCCGTAAAAGGTGACTATGCTTGTCGTAAAAGGCGACTAACGGGATCGGGTGGTCAGGCTCGCTGACTTGGTTGATGCATGTCATCGATCCCAATTGGGTGGATCGATGCTAATGATTTTAATCACTGGATTGTCTGGTCCAGACTCGATTATTTACAGACCGCCGTCATATAGCAGTAATATATTGCTGAGTGCAGCGTTAAACAACCAACCAACCAACTAACCAACCAGATAGTGATGATACCTGGCGGTTGCCAAAAAGTAAGCGTATCCTGCCCCATCGGTTCTACCGTCACAAACACATACAAAGACAAGTCAACAAAGACGAGAAAACAAGCTGTTGTTCATATGTCAATCATGTTTTCAGAAGACACTGGTGTACTTTCGGCTTTTAACAGATACTACACACATATAAAGGTGTTGTGAGTATTCATAGTGACAGTCCCTTTGTGAGAAGAAACCAATATATGTCCCTTTCAGTTAGGAAATAAAGCTGTTGTAGTTTATAGTTATTGTGCAGTAAGATAAATAAAATTCGGGGAGAATAACGTAGTATCTGGGGACTTCTGCAGTATATTCAGCAGAAGCTATTTTCTTGTGAGCAGGCTGCTGTATTACACGGAAACGGTTAGCATAGTTGACCTCGTGTGGTACAGTGCTACTGCTGTACTGTGGCGAGGCTGTACTGGTGTGTTGCGTCAGTTTTCTGGTCTCATGTTATGTCGTATCACACAGATGCATTATAATGTCTGATGTATGTTGCTCCCACATCATATATTTACTGGATACACACTTTTCAGACCATTATCGAATATTTACTTAATATAGGTTAAAGTGAGTGAGTGAGTATGGTTTTACGCCACTTTTAGCAATATTCCAGCAATATCACGGCGGGGGACACCAGCAATGGGCTACACACATTGTACCCATGTCGGAAATCGAACCCGTGTCTTCGGCGTAACGAGCGAACGCTTTAACCACTAGGCTACCCGACCGCCCCTAAATAATATAGGTTAAACATTGAGTATCGAGGACTGTTTGAAATGCAGTTCGACGATGCCAGAGAGAGTGTGTCTGTTTGCCACCTTTATATACGTTGTCTTGTACTTCCTTAATCGATGTTCATGGATACCAGCTCGCATGTGTACCCGTAGGGTGATAACCTCGGGCCCTTTGATGCGAAAAGAATGCTTACTTTACACCATTAAGCTGAGGTGCGTTACTTACCTGGAAGTGGTCAGCCCAAGGTAAATCAATCACGTATAATTCACAAATGGTATATATAAAGGACGGGGGAAACTGTTCCATCATCTCTTATCTTCACCTGCCGTTGAGACACAGATACGAGTAAAGACCAAACTGCAAGTACTAATTTAAATTTTGCTTGTGATATATATGTATACTTTTAATTTTTGATTCATCTGCTGCGCATCAGGCTGTTTTCAATCTTTATGTTGAGCCAATTCATAAAAGTCCGAATATGTAACATAAGACGTTCTTGTAAATTGAGAAATATATGAATGCGGGTGAAAGCAAAACTGATAACATAATTCACAATGAGTGGTGTGAACTGAATTTACCAGATGAGTAACGATAACATGCTATTTTACCTTTCTTGACAATAATTTTCCCGTTACTCAATAGATACTCAAAATGATGAAGATAGTCGCCGCTCTTGTTGCCTGCCTGGCTGTTACCGCCTTTGCCGAGCCTACCGGTCTGTATGGTGGAATTGGCGGGTTGAAAGGAGGACTGGGCGGAATTGGCTACGGAATGGGTGGATTGTACGGAGGCCTTGGAGGTCTTGGAGGCTATGGAGGTCTATACGGAGGCATGGGAGGTCTATACGGAGGCATGGGAGGTATATACGGAGGCATGGGAGGTCTATACGGAGGCAAATACGGATACGGCATGGGAGGTCTGTACGGAGGACTCGGGGGCTATGGTGGTCTCTACGGAATGGGAGGATACGGAATTGGATTGGGAAAAGGTATTTCACAAAATATGATATCATTTGTTTATCGTATCCGTAAATATACCTCCAGTCTCGTTTGCAAAATTGCATAATTTACCTATGTGGTATTACTATTTTCAGCGACAAAGCTGATGACATTTACAAAACATCTTTAAAACTATTCTCTGCTTTCTCTAATATTTGGTATAGTTTATCATGCAGCTAGTTTCAAGACTTCGTTGTGACTTATCCATACATCCCAACTTTATTCTACTATTTTTTTGTTTCAGGTATCGGCTATTATTGAGTTATTATCACCTGCAGTGTGATGCTGGCTATTTATGTATTTTCTCAAACCAATGGAATTGGTTCAATAAAATCTTGTCATATTTATTTACGCCTTGAAATTTGTTTGAAAATCTTAATCTGAATTGAATGTTCACAATGGAAGAGTGATCTATGTTTCTCCATATTGTAAACTCTGGACATAGTACGTGTTGTCGACCAATATCCAAGCACACTTCAATGATATTGCGTTTTACTGCTAGCTAAGATATCAACTACTGAAATGTGCTATTAAGTTCCTGAGGAAACCGGACATGATGATAAGAGGAGGGATTTTATGCTTGATATATCTCCCACCAAATGTCACTTACCCGAGTTCATGTTTCACGGGAATGTATCATTTGGGCTGCCAGGAAAGGGTTTGATGGCCATTTGAAGTACCATAATATCTGGAATTGGCTGTCTGTATTTCAATTTGCATTTTAAAAACATGCAGCGAAACAAATAAGCAGGCGTGTCAATTTTTGTCAAAGCAGTCATTGACGGTATCAAGGGGTAGACAGTGTGCACTGTATTGAAATGCAAATGTGTGCGCTGTCCTTGAAAATGAGCGAAAGTTGTATTCAGAATACAATCTACATGTTGTTATGGCGCTTTGTATAAATAATATCTGAGCTGCTGCAATAAAACAAACCCGAAAGCCATAGTGATGTAGAGCATCAAAACAAATGTTGCAAGATTCTTACTGCTTTGGTTAGAAGGGAATGCATACAGTTGGAATTTCCATGACAATAACATATCTTTACAGTTTATCAATTACACAAACAAAACGATTGAATTCAAAAGTATCTATTAAATACGCTTGTCCGGGTATAGCTTATCAAACTACGAATTATTTGTAATTTCCATCAAACATGTACTTCTTGATTTGATGATGCAATTTAACATTTTGCATACTGCTTATGTAATTAATAGGAGAAGTATCTATATAGATATTTAGTTGTGTGTTTACTAACCACCTTCCCTGTAGGCGCTATTTGTAAAATACATATTGATTAAATCAGAGCGCGAATTTGAAGATTCCGAACTGGATTGGTAGGATTGAAGATTACAATGAACAAACAAATAGCTAATATATCCCTTTTGTTTGATTACAAAGCAGAAGTGACAATCATTTATCAATACAAAGGAGATTGCATTTGGTAACTGTAGAGAGTGAAATTCAGCGGAATAAATGGTCCAACTTTAAAGCGTGTCATAAGTCTTTATAACAACAACCAGACTGTAAAAACAAGTCGTTTGATCATGTCTATCTTTGAAAACACCTTTGTGTTATACTTTAAGAGCATTTTCTTCTGAAAACACACGTCTTTACTTTTAGATGTACGGTTTTTCTGGGCAACCCTTATATAGTTACACATTGTCAAACTGATTTGCGCGTGTTTTATTCTTGGTAAGAGTTTTGGTCTAAACACGACTTAAAAGAACACAATCATCACTATCACTACTGCTTCATCATGTCAAGGGCATACGTAAAGGGTAGAGACGATTTATATACTTTCTTCTAATGTTTACGACCTAAGACTCAGCCGAAGATTAAAACACGTTAACGTGAGTTATTTGCAACAGTGATTAAGTATATATGCAAAAGTATGAATGGCTGAGACATTGTCAAAAGACAACATTCTCCCAATTTGGCACACGATGGAACGGACGGAGGAGCTCATGAAACATCCAACAAATATGAACTATTCACTAACACCTGGTGACATCACTGATATTCAGTATACATTTTAGCACAATCTTGCCTTTTACACCCAATGAAATCTGTTTCAACAGATAATCGAGCCTGAATATTCTCTGTCGTTGACGATTTATGTAGCTAAAGGGTCATCATTGAATGATTATTATATCAATATTCAGGCGTTATCTATAAAAGTTGAGATATCAAATTTAGTGATGCTCGTATAATCACAAATTCCTTGATAATGAAGTGTACAATTATCAAGATGATATGTTGAAGATAAGAGAGTTCTCTCAAGAAACGCAGTTGCAAATAAACGCCACAAAACCCTTTTCAGAATCATTCGAAAGCTCTGCTCGAAGCAGAGGCCATTGTACGATTCCGACTATAATGATCACAAGCATGTGCGTATGAATGACTATCAGATAGTGGATTCCGGGGTAGAATATATAGGTCTTCAGCAACCCATGCTTGCCGTAAAAGGTGACTATGCTTGTCGTAAAAGGCGACTAACGGGATCGGGTGGTCAGGCTCGCTGACTTGGTTGATGCATGTCATCGATCCCAATTGGGTGGATCGATGCTAATGATTTTAATCACTGGATTGTCTGGTCCAGACTCGATTATTTACAGACCGCCGTCATATAGCAGTAATATATTGCTGAGTGCAGCGTTAAACAACCAACCAACCAACTAACCAACCAGATAGTGATGATACCTGGCGGTTGCCAAAAAGTAAGCGTATCCTGCCCCATCGGTTCCACCGTCACAAACACATACAAAGACAAGTCAACAAAGACGAGAAAACAAGCTGTTGTTCATATGTCAATCATGTTTTCAGAAGACACTGGTGTACTTTCGGCTTTTAACAGATACTACACACATATAAAGGTGTTGTGAGTATTCATAGTGACAGTCCCTTTGTGAGAAGAAACCAATATATGTCCCTTTCAGTTAGGAAATAAAGCTGTTGTAGTTTATAGTTATTGTGCAGTAAGATAAATAAAATTCGGGGAGAATAACGTAGTATCTGGGGACTTCTGCAGTATATTCAGCAGAAGCTATTTTCTTGTGAGCAGGCTGCTGTATTACACGGAAACGGTTAGCATAGTTGACCTCGTGTGGTACAGTGCTACTGCTGTACTGTGGCGAGGCTGTACTGGTGTGTTGCGTCAGTTTTCTGGTCTCATGTTATGTCGTATCACACAGATGCATTATAATGTCTGATGTATGTTGCTCCCACATCATATATTTACTGGATACACACTTTTCAGACCATTATCGAATATTTACTTAATATAGGTTAAAGTGAGTGAGTGAGTATGGTTTTACGCCACTTTTAGCAATATTCCAGCAATATCACGGCGGGGGACACCAGCAATGGGCTACACACATTGTACCCATGTCGGAAATCGAACCCGTGTCTTCGGCGTAACGAGCGAACGCTTTAACCACTAGGCTACCCGACCGCCCCTAAATAATATAGGTTAAACATTGAGTATCGAGGACTGTTTGAAATGCAGTTCGACGATGCCAGAGAGAGTGTGTCTGTTTGCCACCTTTATATACGTTGTCTTGTACTTCCTTAATCGATGTTCATGGATACCAGCTCGCATGTGTACCCGTAGGGTGATAACCTCGGGCCCTTTGATGCGAAAAGAATGCTTACTTTACACCATTAAGCTGAGGTGCGTTACTTACCTGGAAGTGGTCAGCCCAAGGTAAATCAATCACGTATAATTCACAAATGGTATATATAAAGGACGGGGGAAACTGTTCCATCATCTCTTATCTTCACCTGCCGTTGAGACACAGATACGAGTAAAGACCAAACTGCAAGTACTAATTTAAATTTTGCTTGTGATATATATGTATACTTTTAATTTTTGATTCATCTGCTGCGCATCAGGCTGTTTTCAATCTTTATGTTGAGCCAATTCATAAAAGTCCGAATATGTAACATAAGACGTTCTTGTAAATTGAGAAATATATGAATGCGGGTGAAAGCAAAACTGATAACATAATTCACAATGAGTGGTGTGAACTGAATTTACCAGATGAGTAACGATAACATGCTATTTTACCTTTCTTGACAATAATTTTCCCGTTACTCAATAGATACTCAAAATGATGAAGATAGTCGCCGCTCTTGTTGCCTGCCTGGCTGTTACCGCCTTTGCCGAGCCTACCGGTCTGTATGGTGGAATTGGCGGGTTGAAAGGAGGACTGGGCGGAATTGGCTACGGAATGGGTGGATTGTACGGAGGCCTTGGAGGTCTTGGAGGTCTTGGAGGTCTTGGAGGCTATGGAGGTCTATACGGAGGCATGGGAGGTCTATACGGAGGCATGGGAGGTATATACGGAGGCATGGGAGGTCTATACGGAGGCAAATACGGATACGGCATGGGAGGTCTGTACGGAGGACTCGGGGGCTATGGTGGTCTCTACGGAATGGGAGGATACGGAATTGGATTGGGAAAAGGTATTTCACAAAATATGATATCATTTGTTTATCGTATCCGTAAATATACCTCCAGTCTCGTTTGTAAAATTGCATAATTTACCTATGTGGTATTACTATTTTCAGCGACAAAGCTGATGACATTTACAAAACATCTTTAAAACTATTCTCTGCTTTCTCTAATATTTGGTATAGTTTATCATGCAGCTAGTTTCAAGACTTCGTTGTGACTTATCCATACATCCCAACTTTATTCTACTATTTTTTTGTTTCAGGTATCGGCTATTATTGAGTTATTATCACCTGCAGTGTGATGCTGGCTATTTATGTATTTTCTCAAACCAATGGAATTGGTTCAATAAAATCTTGTCATATTTATTTACGCCTTGAAATTTGTTTGAAAATCTTAATCTGAATTGAATGTTCACAATGGAAGAGTGATCTATGTTTCTCCATATTGTAAACTCTGGACATAGTACGTGTTGTCGACCAATATCCAAGCACACTTCAATGATATTGCGTTTTACTGCTAGCTAAGATATCAACTACTGAAATGTGCTATTAAGTTCCTGAGGAAACCGGACATGATGATAAGAGGAGGGATTTTATGCTTGATATATCTCCCACCAAATGTCACTTACCCGAGTTCATGTTTCACGGGAATGTATCATTTGGGCTGCCAGGAAAGGGTTTGATGGCCATTTGAAGTACCATAATATCTGGAATTGGCTGTCTGTATTTCAATTTGCATTTTAAAAACATGCAGCGAAACAAATAAGCAAGCGTGTCAATTTTTGTCAAAGCAGTCATTGACGGTATCAAGGGGTAGACAGTGTGCACTGTATTGAAATGCAAATGTGTGCGCTGTCCTTGAAAATGAGCGAAAGTTGTATTCAGAATACAATCTACATGTTGTTATGGCGCTTTGTATAAATAATATCTGAGCTGCTGCAATAAAACAAACCCGAAAGCCATAGTGATGTAGAGCATCAAAACAAATGTTGCAAGATTCTTACTGCTTTGGTTAGAAGGGAATGCATACAGTTGGAATTTCCATGACAATAACATATCTTTACAGTTTATCAATTACACAAACAAAACGATTGAATTCAAAAGTATCTATTAAATACGCTTGTCCGGGTATAGCTTATCAAACTACGAATTATTTGTAATTTCCATCAAACATGTACTTCTTGATTTGATGATGCAATTTAACATTTTGCATACTGCTTATGTAATTAATAGGAGAAGTATCTATATAGATATTTAGTTGTGTGTTTACTAACCACCTTCCCTGTAGGCGCTATTTGTAAAATACATATTGATTAAATCAGAGCGCGAATTTGAAGATTCCGAACTGGATTGGTAGGATTGAAGATTACAATGAACAAACAAATAGCTAATATATCCCTATTGTTTGATTACAAAGCAGAAGTGACAATCATTTATCAATACAAAGGAGATTGCATTTGGTAACTGTAGAGAGTGAAATTCAGCGGAATAAATGGTCCAACTTTAAAGCGTGTCATAAGTCTTTATAACAACAACCAGACTGTAAAAACAAGTCGTTTGATCATGTCTATCTTTGAAAACACCTTTGTGTTATACTTTAAGAGCATTTTCTTCTGAAAACACACGTCTTTACTTTTAGATGTACGGTTTTTCTGGGCAACCCTTATATAGTTACACATTGTCAAACTGATTTGCGCGTGTTTATTTCTTGGTAAGAGTTTTGGTCTAAACACGACTTAAAAGAACACAATCATCACTATCACTACTGCTTCATCATGTCAAGGGCATACGTAAAGGGTAGAGACGATTTATATACTTTCTTCTAATGTTTACGACCTAAGACTCAGCCGAAGATTAAAACACGTTAAAGTGAGTTATTTGCAACAGTGATTAAGTATATATGCAAAAGTATGAATGGCTGAGACATTGTCAAAAGACAACATTCTCCCAATTTGGCACACGATGGAACGGACGGAGGAGCTCATGAAACATCCAACAAATATGAACTATTCACTAACACCTGGTGACATCACTGATATTCAGTATACATTTTAGCACAATCTTGCCTTTTACACCCAATGAAATCTGTTTCAACAGATAATCGAGCCTGAATATTCTCTGTCGTTGACGATTTATGTAGTTAAAGGGTCATCATTGAATGATTATTATATCAATATTCAGGCGTTATCTATAAAAGTTGAGATATCAAATTTAGTGATGCTCGTATTATCACAAATTCCTTGATAATGAAGTGTACAATTATCAAGATGATATGTTGAAGATAAGAGAGTTCTCTCAAGAAACGCAGTTGCAAATAAACGCCACAAAACCCTTTTCAGAATCATTCGAAAGCTCTGCTCGAAGCAGAGACCATTGTACGATTCCGACTATAATGATCACAAGCATGTGCGTATGAATGACTATCAGATAGTGGATTCCGGGGTAGAATATATAGGTCTTCAGCAACCCATGCTTGCCGTAAAAGGTGACTATGCTTGTCGTAAAAGGCGACTAACGGGATCGGGTGGTCAGGCTCGCTGACTTGGTTGATGCATGTCATCGATCCCAATTGGGTGGATCGATGCTAATGATTTTAATCACTGGATTGTCTGGTCCAGACTCGATTATTTACAGACCGCCGTCATATAGCAGTAATATATTGCTGAGTGCAGCGTTAAACAACCAACCAACCAACTAACCAACCAGATAGTGATGATACCTGGCGGTTGCCAAAAAGTAAGCGTATCCTGCCCCATCGGTTCTACCGTCACAAACACATACAAAGACAAGTCAACAAAGACGAGAAAACAAGCTGTTGTTCATATGTCAATCATGTTTTCAGAAGACACTGGTGTACTTTCGGCTTTTAACAGATACTAAACACATATAAAGGTGTTGTGAGTATTCATAGTGACAGTCCCTTTGTGAGAAGAAACCAATATATGTCCCTTTCAGTTAGGAAATAAAGCTGTTGTAGTTTATAGTTATTGTGCAGTAAGATAAATAAAATTCGGGGAGAATAATGTAGTATCTGGGGACTTCTGCAGTATATTCAGCAGAAGCTATTTTCTTGTGAGCAGGCTGCTGTATTACACGGAAACGGTTAGCATAGTTGACCTCGTGTGGTACAGTGCTACTGCTGTACTGTGGCGAGGCTGTACTGGTGTGTTGCGTCAGTTTTCTGGTCTCATGTTATGTCGTATCACACAGATGCATTATAATGTCTGATGTATGTTGCTCCCACATCATATATTTACTGGATACACACTTTTCAGACCATTATCGAATATTTACTTAATATAGGTTAAAGTGAGTGAGTGAGTATGGTTTTACGCCACTTTTAGCAATATTCCAGCAATATCACGGCGGGGGACACCAGCAATGGGCTACACACATTGTACCCATGTCGGAAATCGAACCCGTGTCTTCGGCGTAACGAGCGAACGCTTTAACCACTAGGCTACCCGACCGCCCCTAAATAATATAGGTTAAACATTGAGTATCGAGGACTGTTTGAAATGCAGTTCGACGATGCCAGAGAGAGTGTGTCTGTTTGCCACCTTTATATACGTTGTCTTGTACTTCCTTAATCGATGTTCATGGATACCAGCTCGCATGTGTACCCGTAGGGTGATAACCTCGGGCCCTTTGATGCGAAAAGAATGCTTACTTTACACCATTAAGCTGAGGTGCGTTACTTACCTGGAAGTGGTCAGCCCAAGGTAAATCAATCACGTATAATTCACAAATGGTATATATAAAGGACGGGGGAAACTGTTCCATCATCTCTTATCTTCACCTGCCGTTGAGACACAGATACGAGTAAAGACCAAACTGCAAGTACTAATTTAAATTTTGCTTGTGATATATATGTATACTTTTAATTTTTGATTCATCTGCTGCGCATCAGGCTGTTTTCAATCTTTATGTTGAGCCAATTCATAAAAGTCCGAATATGTAACATAAGACGTTCTTGTAAATTGAGAAATATATGAATGCGGGTGAAAGCAAAACTGATAACATAATTCACAATGAGTGGTGTGAACTGAATTTACCAGATGAGTAACGATAACATGCTATTTTACCTTTCTTGACAATAATTTTCCCGTTACTCAATAGATACTCAAAATGATGAAGATAGTCGCCGCTCTTGTTGCCTGCCTGGCTGTTACCGCCTTTGCCGAGCCTACCGGTCTGTATGGTGGAATTGGCGGGTTGAAAGGAGGACTGGGCGGAATTGGCTACGGAATGGGTGGATTGTACGGAGGCCTTGGAGGTCTTGGAGGTCTTGGAGGCTATGGAGGTCTATACGGAGGCATGGGAGGTCTATACGGAGGCATGGGAGGTATATACGGAGGCATGGGAGGTCTATACGGAGGCAAATACGGATACGGCATGGGAGGTCTGTACGGAGGACTCGGGGGCTATGGTGGTCTCTACGGAATGGGAGGATACGGAATTGGATTGGGAAAAGGTATTTCACAAAATATGATATCATTTGTTTATCGTATCCTTGAATATACCTCCAGTCTCGTTTGTAAAATTGCATAATTTACCTATGTGGTATTACTATTTTCAGCAAAAAGCTGATGACATTTACAAAACATCTTTAAAACTATTCTCTGCTTTCTCTAATATTTGGTATAGTTTATCATGCAGCTAGTTTCAAGACTTCGTTGTGACTTATCCATACATCCCAACTTTATTCTACTATTTTTTTGTTTCAGGTATCGGCTATTATTGAGTTATTATCACCTGCAGTGTGATGCTGGCTATTTATGTATTTTCTCAAACCAATGGAATTGGTTCAATAAAATCTTGTCATATTTATTTACGCCTTGAAATTTGTTTGAAAATCTTAATCTGAATTGAATGTTCACAATGGAAGAGTGATCTATGTTTCTCCATATTGTAAACTCTGGACATAGTACGTGTTGTCGACCAATATCCAAGCACACTTCAATGATATTGCGTTTTACTGCTAGCTAAGATATCAACTACTGAAATGTGCTATTAAGTTCCTGAGGAAACCGGACATGATGATAAGAGGAGGGATTTTATGCTTGATATATCTCCCACCAAATGTCACTTACCCGAGTTCATGTTTCACGGGAATGTATCATTTGGGCTGCCAGGAAAGGGTTTGATGGCCATTTGAAGTACCATAATATCTGGAATTGGCTGTCTGTATTTCAATTTGCATTTTAAAAAATGCAGCGAAACAAATAAGCAGGCGTGTCAATTTTTGTCAAAGCAGTTATTGACGGTATCAAGGGGTAGACAGTGTGCACTGTATTGAAATGCAAATGTGTGCGCTGTCCTTGAAAATGAGCGAAAGTTGTATTC